GCGGGGAACTCTGCAAAAAACGCATCTTCGCACGGGCAGCCCGTGCGTTGGCCATTTTTTTATTTTGCTATCCATTTGATCAGACAGTGCATTTTATTAGCATTTTACTGCTGAATTTAACGTCACGGAATTGAAATTCTGTTCCTCTCTTTTTCGACCACTTTTGAGTAGCGGATTTTATGCATTTGCGCCGCCCCACAATGACTACAACTCTAATATCTGTGTAACTGAAACGTGTGGCCATCATCATCGTCATCATCACACTTCGTTCTCGAAAAAAACCACTACGGCTTCTCTTGTCGTTTGCTTTTTGTGCCGGATTATAAAGTAGCGTGCTGCATCTCAGAGCTGCGTATCCTGTAATGGTTCAGAGCTATGCATGATGAAAGTTTTCCCAAAGGATTTGAGTTCAAATTTTGGCATGGAACTGTTATGGCGCCCGAGGCAAAATAATCTTGTAAAAATTTTGCAAAATCAAATTAAAATTAATAAAAATGTCTTTTAGGTCTGAAACTGAACGAAATGAAGGATAGCGTTGTACTTGGTTGTTCCGCCGATAATTGCAAGGGTGTTAGTCTTAATGTTTATTATTAACTGAAAAAAAAAACTACCACAGTTATTATTTACAAGGCTTGTGTTCAGTAGAAGGTTCGAATTCGCTGACAAATTTGGTTGGGCGCACATGTGCATAGCACATAAAATTGTATGTCAAATAAAGCAATGGAGCTAGCAATTACACGTTCCTAAAACCTAAAATATAGGATTGTTTGTGTATTTACACGATTTGGCCCTGCCTAATTCATATGCTACAATCGGCTGCTTCTCTTCTAACAAATGGCACTTTCTGATAAGTAATGCTCGGTGTTCCCAAAAAATTCCCGTTCTGCCCATCCAGCGATGCATTCTGTAGCGTTTTAAGCGATAACCTGTGCACCACCCATCAGCTAGAGTGACTGGAGTAGCCGCAAAAGGATACTCCAAGTTTTGTGTTGCAGCGTTGCGTTATATTTAAAGTGCTTTCGTGCATCAGAAAATTTTATTGCATTAGCCATCCTGGCTAGCACATTTTTAAGGCTTCTCTCACATCAGTTTTCCAATTTGCAGGATGTGCATTGCAATCATATTCTGATATGGCCTAATCGAATTTATGATTGCTGCTGCAGAGGCAAACGTTGCAACGCGAACGGCGAGAAATTCTTGCCGCACATACGATCTTTTGCTTTCACTGAGTTAGAAGACCGCAGTTCAGGAGCACTGTATTTTGAAGAACCAACTGTAACAGAAACAACAACGGTAACAGAAATAACAATCAAACCGGCGAATACAACTAAACCTGCTCCTACTACAGAAGATGATATGTTCATTCCGAACAGAGGCGCCAGAAGATGCATAAATGCTTCCTACTTTTGGGTCGACGTGTTATTTCTTGTTGTAACTGCCACATGGCTTTTTTAGCGAGCAAGCTCACATCCTTTGTGCTTTATTTCGCGCTAAATTGTATTTATAATTTCACAAGTTTCATTGTCGTGTTTTATAGATGAATAAAAACCTAAGAAGCAAACGCGCACCAGAGTTTCCAGTGCGACCATACATTTTTGCACTGATCTGGAAGTAATCATATCATTAACGGTATGAATGGTTGTTGCTTTACATTTTAACATGTGCATTCATGTTGGTAATGTTTTTATTCTTGCATAGAGGAGGAAAATGGCGTCGACCGAAATAGCATTGCATTATAAGGCCGCGTGAAATCTTAACCTTACATGCTTTGGTTTTAGTGTTTCCTTGCAAAAACCCGTCATCAGAGGAGGATCTCCCCTGTCTGAAAATTGTCCTACATTTAATGGGAGCTTTCCTCATGCCCAGATGAAGGAGAGGACGAATAGGTTTGGTTGGATTTACATAAAAATCCTGCATAACAATTCCAGTGTATTGCTTTCGGCAGTAACAAAGGGATCGTGTTAGTAGCCTGCGACTATTTCCATTTATTCATCTTTTTTCCCTTCAGAATCCTACAGAAGCAAAGTCCACCCCATCCCCGTCCATCCAGCATACCCATTCGTTTCGCTCAATTGATAATCTCACATTTTTGTCTTTAACATTCGTAAGAATCCGCATTTCACTGGTCCTCAGCTTTATTTATGCCTGATCGTTATAAATGAGAGAGTTGCTTTCTTAGCTTATTGCCAAAGGCAATACATTGGGATTTTTATGTGAATCCAGTTGAAATTATTAGCTCTCAGCTTTACCTGAGTATGAGTGTTACAAATAGGGAAGTCCCTTACTAACCATGGATTTTTACAGGGCAATTTCGCTCGCCTGGGTTTATTTGCTTTTATTCATTGCTAATTTACTTTATCTTGTAACGTTGTAATGTTGCTCTTTTCTCTTTCAGTTGCCTGCACTTCTGAGCATCTTTGTTCTCGTCCTTTACTTTCCCTCCAATACCTGTCTCCAAAGCAACATCTCAGCCTGCCTCAAACCCGTATTACTTCACTCCCAATCAACCAATATTTCAGTACCTCTCCCGCCCCGGGTTTCCACGGTCTAAGTCAATACCAAACTTCCTACCAGCCCACCAGATTTAGGTTACCCGGCGCCTAGGGTAAAGCTACCCATTACCTGCCCTGGGTGCCTCATTAATCCCACTAAGGCGAGTGCATTTTGCACAAGAACGGGCACATACTAGTGTAGCTGAGCCGAGTTTCAATGGTTGACTGTCCCAGTCCGTCCCATGTCACGAGCCCAGCTGCCGAAACGAGCACCAAGCCGTCCGTCCTTTCTGGCCACCATCCCTAAGCTGTGTTATCCAGTTCACGGAGAACGTCACTGAGCGCTCGTGGGAAAGTTACCCAATCATCTAGGGAAACAGCACCATGTCTCATTAATGCACCAACGGGTGCGTTTTATGATGTTAGGCCGAGCCAGGTTTTGGTAATTGGGCAATTACTAAATTTCGGCTTGCTCGGTGTCATACACGATTTGCGAAAAAATCGTTTCTGGCAATGGCGGATAGAGCTACCCTGGACTAAGTGGCAGGGATTCAGTATTAGTGACACAGGTGGACCTCGTCAGTACGACATTTGTGCTATTGTATACTAAAAATGATTTAACTAAAGGGCATGCTTAATTTGGT